AACTAGAACTTGGACCAAGTTCTAGCATCGTGGACATTGGCCTTGCGAAATGTAGATTCGTTACCTTGGTAAAAAAAACTTGTCACTCACCGACCGACGGGCAGCAGCGGAGTTAGCTACGTTGATGATTCTGCAACATAGAAACGTAGAATTCATATTAAAGTAGTGTAAAAAAATCTGAATCTTTTCCATGAAACAATAGGCTTGTTTTCTATTCCTGGTGAACTAGTGCAATAAATTAGAGTGAGACAAGCAAATTTTTTCTCATTCTAGCTTACTGTACTAGTTCACCAGTGCAGGAACAGAAAACAAACCTATTATTTGACGAGCGTTCGTGCGAATCGTTCGAACGGTCGAGTCGAATAGACGGGGAGGCGAATAAAAGCAATCCGCGGGATGAAGTTTACACTAAGAATAATACATAAATAATTTTACTCACCAGAGGGTTGCTCCGCCATTGCCCGATGCCTCCCAGGCCGCCGCTTCCTCTCAGACTCCTCGCAGATTTGGCACTGGCAATCGGCACAACGCGACACTCGCGGCACTCGCGGCACTCGCGACACGGCACTCCCGGTGTTAACCGACGCGAGCTCGGTTACAACGAGAACGAGAAAGAGAGACGATCGTATACGGAAACACGAGCCGGCACGATGGCGTCGCGTGAAACGGCGGGAACGTTCCGGCGGGCACTCGGAGATACGCGAGGCTTGACGCGTCTCGCGACCGAACGCGAGCGTTCAATGGGGCGATCTCGCGTCAACATTTCACTCGCCGCGCGTCACGCGCGGAAACTCGGGTATATCGGGTAGATACACGCGCGAAGAGACGCGAATTGAAGTTGGAGCTTGGTACACTCGCGGCGCCGCGAGGATCCGGCTGCGCCATAGATTACAGACGAGGTTACTCGCGAGATTCACGCGTCTCGGTGGATCGCCGACACACAAGTATCGAATAATCTGCTCTGCGATCGCTCAACCTGATCCGCGTTACTCACCACCGTCGTGAAAAGCGTCACGATGACCGTTCGGCGCGGGAGACCGGTCCGCTGCGTGTCCGCGACGCTCCGCGATGCTTCTCGAACAGACCAACATGGTGCCGTACCCGTCGGGCCGTCGCTACAGCGCCGTACTACGCGAGTCGAGTCAGCGACGCGACTTGAGTTATTCACTTTAATATCGCTCGCGCAGCGTATCTCAAATAAGCGCGTAGATTCACCTGCTTTTTATTGACGAACAATCGACACACTCGCGCCTTTCCTGTACTCAAGCTACATCGAAGGAATAGCGAGCACGAACCATAGAAACCAACGATTCGACGGTCCGCCTCCCGTATGTCCAAGTGCACGCTCGCGTGGCCGTGGCGTCGATTAATTGCGCGGAGAATGATCGCACACGTCGCCCCGTGGCGTACGTGCCGGCGGCTCGAACAATAGTGCGGCGCACGGAACGTTCTGTGACCTGTGACCTCGGTCGCGGCGGCTCGAGAAAAAACAAGTGACGATCGCTGCGGCCGCGGCGGCTCGAGACAAACAAGTGACGATCGCTGCGGCCGCGGCGGCTCGAGACAAACAAGTGACGATCGCTGCGGCCGCGGCGGCTCGAGGCAAACAAGCAACGGTCGCTGCGGCGCGGCGGCTCGAGACAAACAAGCGGCAAGCCGCGTCGCAGTCAGACGCGCGTCGCGATGTCATTCGAACTGCCGTGCGAGAGGCACAGGACGGTGTGCGCGATCGTGTTATTGACGTCTTCGTTTCTCGGAGCACCGTCTTCCGTTTGCGCTCGCTATTTCTCCGATGTAACTTGAACAGAGGGAAGCCGCGAGTTCGTCGACTGTTCATCAACTGACGTGTGACTTTAAGTGTGCGTTTATTTGTGATACTTACATTGCGCGGGCGATATCGAAGTGATATTCGGATCGTGTCACTGACTCGACTCGCGCAGTAACGTCAGTAGCGCGATTCTGTAACTCGTTATGTCGTCGTTACGGGCTTCGCGCAGCTTTTCTACGGTATATTAGATCTGCGCAAAGCCCGTAACGACGACATAACGAGTTACAGAATCGCGCTACAGGGCGGGTATTGGCGTCATGTTGGTCTGTTCGAGAAGGATTAGTCCCAGTCTACAATAGATGATTTAAGCCCTAAGCTTTAAGAAATTGGCCAATCACGGTCAAGTATGAGAAGAATGCGCGACTGTGATTAGTCAATTTCTTAAGGCTTAAGGCTTAAATCTCTATTGTAGACTGGGACTTACGCTTACGTTTTACGTCCTTACGGAATTTTATGTGTGAAGGCCTTAACCAGTGGCTGTCGAGAACGCGAGCAGCCATTTTGAAACTTAAGCAATGCTGAAAATTCCGATTGGTTGACATTCTTAAGTATTACGTCTCACTGCTTAAGTTTCTTCGTGTGTTTCCAGCTTTAGGCTGGTATTACATTTGTCGTACGACAAAATTTTTAAGCGTATTGATTGGCTGAAGGATAGTAAAATTCTCGAGGATCTAGAAACTTTCTATTCAGCGGCCAATCGACACGCTTGAAAAATTTGTCGTACGACAAATGTAATAGTACCCTTAGGCTGCGGTCAAGCTATCGCTTCAAATGTCACCAAGTATTCTTGCTCTCTTTTCTTTCAGTGAAGATAGAAAGAGAAGGGAGACGCTCCGAAGCGTTCGCAGCGGCAGCTTGACCCTAGATATATTACGTCTATGGCCTCAGCCGAGCGCGCGCAGTCTATGGTCTATACATTATACGTCTATGCTCTAGGGACAATCGGGCCGCGTCGATCTGGCAACCGCGCCATTACCGCCGCCATCTTCACACTACACGCGGCGGTCGTCGTCACTGGTCGCTGCAGGTCGCTGCGGGTCGCTGCGGGTTTACTCGAAAGCCGTTCGTTCAGTCACTTCAGCGGTAGTGCGTGTCGCGCGTTGTCGTTTCTCCGCCGTTCTTCGCGCGCAACGTTTCGAGAGGCACGAGAGCGAGTCCCGGGATCTCCGAGCAGCGAGAAGATGAAGCCGGCTTACATGATCTGCGCGCTACTTAGCCTGACCATCGGCACGTTGGCGATGGCAGGGATGACACCTCGTAAGTTTGCCGCTGGCACGGACACTTCGACGCGTAGCGGCGACTCCGAAGCGCGTCGCTCACGCGTACGTAATAACGGCGTTGAGGCTCGGTCTACCGCGAGTTAGGCCAACGGCAGAGATGAACGATCCGTAGACCCTCAATGCCTCGATCGTGGACGCAAGGCAAGGCGGAAAAGAATTCAAGTCGCATACAAGAGACTTTCACGACTCGAGTCTCTCTGTCCTGCCTTACGTCTACGACCCGTGACATTCCTAAAAACCGGATCTACAATAGGCGTATTGAGAATCTTAAGACGCGAGAAACGGACCAATCGTAGACGAAAGCGAGGGGAATAATTGCCCGTGCTCGATCGATTTCCAACGGTTTACCACCGTAGATCACCCTACCTTATGGAATGTTCTCTGCCGTCGACCTCGTTCGTAGGAAGTCGACGATGCGACGCGGTCCTCTTCCATCCACCTAGAAGGGAAGAGGATCAGCGTGTACCCCCGACTTCTCGCCGACGGCTAATAAAACATCGTAGACCGGTCTTGAACGCGCTCGCGGCGGCCGGGTGTCGCGACCAGCGTGCGACGCCTACCCGCGTCGAATTACCGATAAGCGCAGCTGGGCCGATCCGGCTTTTTCCGGGAGCGAAAGCGCGGCGTTGGCGAGATTCGCTCGCGAACGCGCGCGCGACAGGCACCGCGAGGGTGCGAGACCGCGTAGAAAAGCATCGATCCGCCGCGGCGGGGGAGCGCGGTAACGTTTTACGCTTCCTACGCGCGCTCGACCTTCGTTAGGCGACAGCGACGGTGGCGGCGGTGGTCTTGAGCAGATTGCTATTGATCCCCCGCCGACCACCGCCGGCCGAATCTCGCCTGCGATGAGCGATAACGATCGAACGCGCGACGGCTGCGGTGCCCGCCAGTCCGCCGACAAATGACGCGTATATGTTGAGCCGCGACGACGCCGGGCGGTTGGAGAGGACGCGCGTTATCGCGTCTCGGCGCGTGTTTATGTTTTGACGAGAAGGCGGAGGGACGTAAATGACGCAGGGAGGTTTCAGCGGGGATTACTTTGCGTTAAAAATCGCGGGAGATAACGCCGGGGGATCGCGAATGTTTTTCCGCTAGCGCGGAAAGTGGGAAAACTTGGTCGAGTTTAACATCCGTCCTTTCTTTTTCTTTGAGTTTGCCCTTTGGTGCGAACGTCTTTCACGCGTCTGTACGGGAATTCTGTAACTTGCTATCGAGATGTTTCGATAACGTTAACTAGGAACAACCAACGAAAATCTGCGTCTTTTTCGAAGATCGTTCTCGCTATTGGCTGTCGCTAGTTAACGATACCGAAAAGCATCGGTTGCAAGTTACGGAATTCCCGTACAGGTTAGGTTAGGTTTAGGTAAAAATTCCGTGAAATTCGCGCCTAATCTTGGGGTTTGTTTTCTGTTCCTGCACTGGTGAACTAGTGCAGTAAGCTAGAATGAGAAAAAAATATGCTTGTCTTACTCCAATTTATTGCACTAGTTCACTAGTGTAGGAACAGAAAACAAGCCTTTGATTGAACATTAGGTTTGTTTTCTGTTCCTGCACTGGTGAACTGGTACAGTAAGCTAGAATGAGAAAAACTATGTTTGTCTTATTCTAATTTATTGCACTAGTTCACCAGTGTAGGAACAGAAAACAGGCCTATTGGATGCGACTCGAGGCGCTTGAACTTCTACAAGCGCTCAATATTCGAAATTTTTTTCCCCTTCGCGGGAAAATATGCGGAACGAGGGCCGGGATCGAACCGACACGTATGTCTAAGAAAAGTGTCTTAAAGATATGTTTTATGGCTGTGGTCGAGCTGTCGTGACAAAGTACTTTTCTTCGCCTTTATTTGACTAAAGACGGCAAGTGAAGAGAAACGCCTCAGAGCATTTGTAGCGGCTGCTTTACTTTAGATATGCGTGTTGTACAGGGAAGACCCTACCATTAGACCGGGTCTACAATAGGTGTAGTAAGTCTTAAGCCGTAAGAAATTGATCAATCACAAGCGATTATTCTCCTCACTTCAGACTGTGATTGGTCAATTTTTAGCACAGAGCTACGCCTCGTCCCAATATTTATCGATCAATGTAATTGTTCACTTTTCGCGACGCCCGAGAAAAGGATTCACGAAACCCTGAAAAAGTCTTAATGTCCGGATAAAATTCAAATTTTCTTCGCCTTGTACTTCCAGACGTGAATATCTTATCAATATAAGAGACAAATTCAAATTGGTTGCTTCACTTAACGTTCTGTATGCACGTTTATACCAGCTCGTATCGACAGAGATGAAAGTGTGGGCTTCAAATGTATATTCTTATTTTATAAGGAACCGGGGGGGGGGGGGCTTACAGTTGAGATGTATTGAATCTTCGTTAAAAGAAATAATGTATGGAATTTTTCGTGCACTCAGATACACAACAGGAGGCGCGTGAAAACACTCCGCATGCTGCTCTCGCGAAGAATGCAAAACTCCCTGAGCCGGTAACTCTAGCGCCAACGCCAAACGTTACGTCTGAAACCACCACTTCACATTCGACGATTACACCCACTGCTAACCCTACCGTTGCCCCTGAACCTATTAAACCTAACGTTACTACTACACCCAACGTTACGACACCTATACCTTCTCCCACGACTGTTACTACACCTACTGTAGCACCTACTACAAAATCCACTGCAAAACCTGTACCAACTACAGCAGAACCAAACCCAACCAGCCCCTCGACACATTCTAGTACGCCTGAGATGAAGACAACAGCTCGCCCGACAACTTTACCATCCTCTAAGGACCGCCAGTTTGATGGTCTGAGCTTCTTTGGTACGTAAGAGTTGTTTTTCTACTGGCTATAGATCGACTAATGATCTCTTCAATAAAACGATAAAGGAGAAATTTATTCAAATAATAAAAATAGCGTATATTATGCTACAAGTATTGTAAAAGAATTTTTTTTCATATAATTTTAACGTGAAACGGCTGTTGTGTTTGAATTGATGCTGAAGCAAATGCGTAAATCGTCAAGTAGTGAAATAGCGTGTATCTTTCCGCTGCAGGTGGCATAATCTTGACTACGTGTCTGATGGCGATCGCCGTGTTCTCGTGGAAATTCTGGAGGCAGTGCAAGGAAGGCAACTACCGTACACTGTGATAACGTGCAAGGCTATAATCTCTGTCAAGTATATGCAGCTAATCGAACTAAAAACTATGAATAATTATTTTATTGTAATATTGCGTATTTTTATAACGCAGTTAAGTGTTGCGTGGTTTAAGTGCTCTTAGTAATGTGATGTGCAACCACGAGTTCCGTTTTTTCTCGTTATACGTATATCTAATAGGGGAGGAGGAGAGGGAGTCGAGTACTCGTATGTATCAGAAACGACAACATTGTATTCATACTCTCGTTTTACTAGTAGACAAGAGAGAAAGAGATTGTGACGTGTTGCGTGTTGGCAAGTAGGAAGGTAGAGCGGTAGACGAGATAAGGAGGAGGGGAGAAAGGTGGGCGCATTGACGAGAGCTAATGACCAATCAAACGTACATTCCACTAGAGAGAAAAAGAGGGAGATCATGGTTCTTTAAACGCGCATTATCCCACTTCTTATTAGCTTTCGCTCAAACTCTGTGCAAGCTGTATCTTTAATCTATGGTATGGTATATGCATTCCGTAAAGTTACGTAAGATCTGACTTTTCTAGACGAGAGAGAGAGGAGAGAAAGTAGCGGGGGCTCGACGCGAGTATCTTAGCCACGAAATCTCGAAAACATTTTAATCTCAGATCAACGTGTCTCGCAGTACATGACGCGTCCGAGACCTGCTGCACAGCATACAGAGTTGAGGCTGGACTGTTATTGAAAATGAACTAGTTAGTATAATTACGGTATGCGCGAGCTATTAACTCTCTTCTTTGTACGCCCTTATCACCAGTTCGTTTGCACAATATTTTTCCGCTAAGATCTGAGTAACGCGTGGATAATGGTATTGGCAAGGTAAACGCTTCAAATCAGATTTTGCACTTTTTTTTTTTTACGTGTTGTTTACTCAGCCTTACCTGAATTTGCATTGAATACCTGGATATTTTATTTTTTATAGTTGGATCTCGTTCTTAAGCGCGATATCACAGGATATCGTCGATTATTTACACGTTGCGATTGTAACCACCAGTGGTGTGAAATTCTTTGAACCTCTGAAAATGCTTATTCGTCAGACAGGTTGCCTAAGTGTCGCATAGTTCCTTCCTCACGCGTTCGCCTAAGACTAATCAAATCGGAAAACGTAAACTCGAGAAATGTTTTTCACCTTTTTTTTTTAGCGCATCGTATTACGTGAATCCTCAATCTAACTAATTTACCGTCTTTCGTAGTAAGTATTGTTAGATAATATATTGAATAGCACACGTAATTAATGCAACGGTATTGTATTAAGTAATCTTAAGTAGTATTCTAAGAAACGTGTCACGTTCATTATAAAAAGGACAAAGAAAATTATATATATATTACGTTACATTTATGTGCACATAATCTCTTTCGGTTTGCCTTAGGTTACGTTATGGTACAACAGTGAGAATCCAAAGACACAACACTGCGTTAATATTTCATGAAGCCTAGTCCTCTTCCCGATGCATCCCTGTCAGCAATACGTCGTAACGGTATTGTGTCGTGGCGGATACACTCGCTTTGCGCGATGTTCGTATTTCGCTTCAATATATATTTATTTGCGAAGAAGGTTTCGATCTGCTGCGGCTGACGCAGAGTATTATAATTAAATGACTTGAGAATTAATTGGAAAAAACTGCCGTTCCCGCTGAGATTGAATCCTGGTGGTCTAACACTGTGTCTGTGCACGCGCCAATTATTTCTCGATTTTAAAATACAAATCTGAGAATAGCGAATAGTATCGGAGGAGGATTCTCGCGGATGACGCGGGTCAATTGCGAGATATTTCTCGCATCGCGTTCGTGAGACTGCAAATTGATCGAAAGATATGGATGAACGTTTCCTTGTACTCCTCGTATAACGATGACAAAGCTCTTGTAAAAATTCGCACGTACAACGCGTGATTTCCCGCAAAATGACGTCAGAACTGTCTCGAAGTGTCGACGCTGCTTGAGGCGCTTCTCGTATCGCGAAAATAATCAATTGCCACCGGGGCCGGGGATCGCCGACCTGTTTTGCCACTGGCATCGCCGGAACCGCGCTCGCTGGCGCAATTGTAAATACGGGAATTTACCCTGTTCCAGAGAAGGTATTGATCGCATCGCGCCAGGTTACTTGACACACATATTTCCGCTTAAAACATACTTACGCGGCTCAGAAACTCTAATTGTCGCGCCAAGAGAAGAAAAGATCCATTATCGTCGCACGAAGGTGCAAAGGCAAAAAGAAAACAACGGAGGGAAAGATGAAAGGAGAGGATCGATAACGAGAAACCACCTACCGGGTATTGTGAATAAGGATTTGTACTCGACAGAGAGAGAGAGAGAGAGCGAAAGAGAGATTCAAAGTTTCATCGAGGCTGCAATGGGGTATCCGATGCGGCAAACACGGCGCAGGACGAAGCCGTGATATTGCAGTCGATAAACTTGCTTGGCTTGGCAGGCTGCAATAATTTATTCGACGCTGAGAGTTCCTTCGGGGTACCTTTCCGAGAAAACAGTTATAGGACGTCCCGTTACCTCGCGCTGATTTCGGAAAATTACCGAACGTTACACTCGATACAGAACAGAAAGCGATTGTACTCTCGAGTCTCGTCAATTGTCGGAAATATGCCGAAGATATGACTCGATATCTTCAGCGATCTGCCTCAAAAAAGCAAAATTTGTTTCACTTTCGCGAAAATGTGACGAAGCGTCGCGATAGCGGTACAAGGAATATGAAAGTATATAATTGACTTGTAATAGTAAAATATCAAATATTACATGTATAAAATTAAATATGTACAGTCGGATTAAGGGTATATGATAAAATGCTATATACAGTAGATTCTAATCCGATCGCTTGTTGCGGCAAATTCTTTTAATTTTAACGAGCGGAATAAATGGCGCTCAAGCGGTGGCTTATATACTTTTAACATATTTTTTAAATTCAAGCTTTATGTTAAAATTAAGTATGTTTGCGTATACTATTGACTTTGTTATCCTAGATAGAATAACGAAGTACTCCTATAAATTACTATATAATAAAACGTACTTTCAGTAATCCGACACTTCTTTATACAAGGAATGGCCGGATTAGCCGAGAGTCTATTGTAATTCGATTATGATACATGATGAAAATTATAGCAGAACCACAAGATGCATTAAAATATAATCGGATATATATGATCGAGTTTACGAGCGGCGAATCATGCCGAACATTCGTGGAAGCCACATGTGCTCTCGTTCCTATCCCACGTTGCGCATATTGAGCGTGTGAGTGTTGCGGAGTAACGTTCCCAGAGATGAGATAGGGCGCGGAAAACCAGATAAGAAAAAACACACGCGTGAAAGAAAAGAGATTCGCGGCGAGACGAGTGTGACGTAATGGAAAAAAAGGCGTGATATCGCCTTTCGTTTCGTGCGAATCGTCTGAAAACGTGCGCTGTCGCTACGAAATGTAAACTCTCTCGCAAGAATGGCTAGGGAATATATCTGTTCGTTAGAGAGAAAATATACGCGAGAGAAACCTCGAGCAAGCTGACATTCGAAGCTTGATTTTTCCGGAAGGAATCGGTGTCGGAGAACTGCGAATCTAGATCTCGAAATTTTTGGAAAACCAACGAATCCCAATCACATCAGCCGACCCGAATTAATAATTGCTACAAAATTGGACGTAAAATTTACCAAAAACTACACTTGGACCTTCAAAAATATTTTCAATCCTAGAGCTACGTGCTTTTTGTACGTGAATATCAATATTAGACTGGATTGCGCACATCCAGTCGGACAATTTTATATATAACTCTGGTAAAAAAAGTATCACATTTTCCGATAAATTTTTTTTAAACATCAAACGTTGGAGAACATGATTACATGGCGGGGATATGCAAGTCTGTTTTTACATCGAACAAAGAGAAATTTCCAAGAATGCTAGCGACTCGAACTTTTCGAGTCTCGCGTTCAGTTATGGAAAGAGAACTTTGCATCAAATTGCTGTGCATGATAATCCGCACGTGAAAGGAAATATGGGAAACTTGAAACGCCTTACACAATAGGTATTCGAGCGCCAATCGTTCACGAATAACGGTTCGGGACAAGAATATACCAAGTTTGCAAATAAATAACAAGATCTCATATTCTTTCGTTAATTTCAATAACGTTTTTCACCGAATTTGTCTTTGAGGCTCGTTGTGTTACGAAGTTGTGTTAAAACTGAATTGCGAAATGCGATAATCTCTAATAATTTCGCGAAGATAAAGTCAATGCCAAGTTGGTCAAACGATCGTTGAACGGCAACACGATAAAGATGTGCTATCCAATATTGCAACTAACTGGATAATCGTATAATTATATATAATTGCGTGATGATAATATAATAGTATATTAAAAAATTCTTATCTCTCTTTAGCGAGAAGTCACGAACGTTAATTATCAAAATATCCCTCGCCTTATTCATCCTTTGCGCAGCGCGTAATATTAGCTGCATACTTTTATCATAAGCTTTACTCCTTCGTGTGCTTATCAGCCTGCGTTCAGGGATGGCGTAACGATTTAGAGAAAAATTCTGAGAGAAAAAAGAGAGAGAGAGGTCATTGCTTACGTCAACTTTTCAATTCCTAACGCCACGTGTTTTCATACCCGAGACTCCGCTGAAATGCGAGAGATCTACTTGAGATACGACAAATCAATTTCGAATATTGTTGTTACGTCACTTGCTCGTATACAAGTGTTTTTCCGAAAGAAATATCGAGTTCGTGTCGGGCGAGGAGTGCGTATTGTGAAGAAAGGTGTAAAATTATGTGAACAAGTGTGAGAATCGCACGATGTATAGCGGGAAAGTATGTGACAAATTGTATGACTTTCGCACGTGTTGTTCGCGTAATTTTACACACTTTTTTTTTTCTTTTATAGAGTATAAACGAAAACTGTCGAGCGGTTTTATAGCACCCTATATAACTTATAGTCGACGTGTAACGATTGGCGATCGCGAAACGGAAAAAGAATACGCTCGCCAGAGCGTGATATGCCCTTACTCCTTTCACCGGGAGCCTGCTCTGCGGCCCACTATTTATACCACGGTAGAATTTCTCAGGATATCAACACGGAATTATTACGTACCGCACGATTACGAGCTGCGGACGATAAACGTTGCACGGACGCGCGCGCCGCTTCGACGGTGGAAAAGAGCGATACGAATTTAACGGCCGCGCGCCGCACGAGTCGTTATCGGGCCCGAGAGCGCGAGCCTCCATGTGTTTGCGGAAAAAAGAAATAGCGCAGATTATTTCTAGACTCTAAGGCGCTTTCTTTCTGCAAAAAACAAGTATATGAAATTATACGCCCCGAAAGCGCTTATAACAGTTTATTACGAAGGTATATAAATTTCTGTGATTTTTATTCTTGTTGTTCATATTCACATTGAATTTTATTTTTCTACGGTGCTTTACCTCGGCATACACTGTCAGAAAAATCTGTGTAAAATTCCATGAACAGCAAGCACAAGAGTCACACATTTTATCATGGAAATATAAACAATTCGTATAACTTTATACCTCGTCGCTTATGTAATTTTTCATATTTTATATCGCACCTTTCGTTTCTTACACAGTTGACGTTTGAAAAAAAAAATCATTTTGACGTACGCAGGTGCAGGATTTTATCTAGTTTAAAATAATTACGCTATGCGAATTACGTTGTAACAAGGAATAGCGTAAACGTTGCATCTTATTACGTGTCGAGCTTACATTTTGCGAGCGTTTTATTACACATGCAAGCGCCACGTACGTGTGCGTGACGCGCTAAAGTTCACTTGATGTTTGCAAAGCCCCTTAATTCCATTCAACGTAACTCCATTTAAACTCTGATGAATTTAATTTACTCTTTTCATACGTTGCATTTTAATCGGGTTTAATTACCAAGATACTCGATGTCGAGTATTATGATTATTTTATTCGCAGCTCGTCGCCGCTTCGTCCACCTTGGTCCAGGTCGTTACGATCAAATTACGATCGCCCTCGAGACTTTCGAGGTGAGAGTTCTATCTGCAGCTCGACCGGTTGTCGTTCATCGAGATAACATATGTCGCACACGGAATCGTACGTGTTGCAAAGTCAGGGTGTCCAGTGGTCAGGGAAATCCGGAAAACCGGGAATTGTCAGGGAGAAGTCAGGAAATTTTACGATTTATCTGGACTTTTTACATAGTTTCACTTTTTTTTTCTGAATAATTTAAAGTTTTTAGTAAAATAACCTTTCCTTTGACTCTCGGTACGCTAACTTTTTGTTTCGCTAAACATCACTTTATTTGTAAGCGTGGTCGGTAATTTATATTTTCATCGTCGTGTTATTTTATTTCAATGTGTTCAACCGAGACAAAGCTGTAAAAAAAAAAAGATGAATTACTAAACAGTACTATCCAAGTAAGTTACTGTCTAGTAAGTTGCAAACTAAATGCAGTTAAGCAAAACAAAGGCATCATATATGATTACGTACGGCATCGCAAATGGTTCGAATGGTTTGTAATATGTTCGTTCCTATTACACGATGTATTATACATAGATGATATAATTGCTTTAATTTAAATTTTTACCGTTTTAGATTCCGGGACTTTCGTTTCCCGAGAAAAATACTTCAAGGACTTCGTCATTTAACACTCGCTCGATTTACCGTGCAGACGTACGCAAATTATGCATCTTGAAAAAAAGTTACACCAAACGGCCGGGGGAAAACTTAATTCCGGCTCCCGGAAAACCTGAAAGAGCCAGGGGATTTTTTTCATCGAGTTTACTGGACACCCTGAAAGTAGATGACGCGCTGCAGGCGAGGCGGGAAGCGTTCGACACGTTCGTGAGTCGGGCTTACCTATCGCTACAATTAACGGCGATCGGAGAACACATTTGCCCTCGGTACGTCTTCGCCTGTTCCTTTCATTCCCCTCTTATCCCTCTTCTCGCCCCCGCCCTTCCTCACGGCTCCTTTCCTACCGGCCTAGAACCCTTGCCTTACACCCCTTTCTCTTTATAACTCTCGTCTCGCTCAACCCACCCTCGGTCGCCCAAGCAATTTCCACCCTTTCCCACCCACCCTCTCCCCGGTATATTAAAAAATTCAATATAATAAAAGAGGCAAAGATCGCGCTCCCCATGGGAAGCCTTACGGCACTTAGTCTCGATCGAAAGGAACTGTTTGGCTTTACACGTGCGTTCGGGAATCTGACACGAGTGTATTTCTCCTCTATTGTCGTTGCAGTTTTTAAACGGAAACATTTTCGAGCGTCTAATTCTTTATATATGATTATGTATGCACACACGTGTCGCGACCTTATTTATCTTTGTCGCCGTAAAGCGCGCGTTCCGATCCGCCAGTGCACTGACAGTGACACGACACGCGGCGTGAGTCCGGGGATCAGCGTGCGCGACGTAGGTGCTTGTATATACAAACGCACCCTCTAGTACCCACTGGCGATTACATTTTCGACTGTTCCAGGTGTCTCGAGTAAATCCACGTCAGTACCGTCTGTCTGCGTCTGCGATCCAAGGGCCGAATGCCTCTCCTGTCGCCACCCCGGGGGGTGAGTTCGCGACGACCGCTCTCGTTGAGCTGAGGTACGCGCGCTCTCGGAGTGCTGCAAGGCGGGATGAAAACGCGTCCGATCGATCGACGTGCCCGGCGCTCGCGAGCTCACGGATGACCACGCGTGCGGCACGTCACGGCGCTAAGAGAGAGAGAGAGAGAGAGAGAGAGAGGGAGGACACCGAGAGGTGCCTGGATGCTGGGAGGCACCGAAAAGAGGTAGGCCTCGCGACGCCGCTAACGTCTTCGATCGCGAGACGATCGTTCGCCACCTCTTCATCCCTCCGCCTATTTCCCTCGCCGTCTCGCTCCTTCCCTGGTTTCCTCTTTCCCTCGCGCTTCGTCTCACCCCAGCGGTTCGAGGACGCGAGAGAACGCGGGTCGTAATCTCCCCGTGTGGTCCACGCGCGCGCGGCGCGAGGGAGCGAGAGAAAGGAGGGAAGAGAAAGAGAGCGAGTGAGTGCGCGGCGCAGAGCGCGCTCCGCTCCGCCGCGAGGTCCAGATTCCGGACGAAACGGCAGCCCGCGGAGGAGGACGCGGCCGAGGTCTACGTCGACGGAGGTCCTCGTGTCCTCGCGCGCCAGGCGTTCAAGGGTCGGGATTTACGTTAAGCGAGATCACCGCTCGGCTACACGACCGGGGAGGGGAGGGGGAGGGGGAGGGAGGCTCCAGGTCTGGCGCCGGAGTCGTCGGGAGGCTGCGGGACGACGTCTCGTCGGGGTCCGCGAGGGGGTGTGCGCGAGAGGCGTACGGAGAGACCGAGAGAGGCGGGCGATCGATAAGCACCGAAAAGCGGAGCGGAAAGAGCGGAGCGGCGCGAGTCCTCCGGCCGGAGCGCGCGGTCCTGGGGAACGCGGCGATGCTGCGTGCGTGATCTCGCCGGTCGTCAGCGACGTAACGTCGATCGCCCCTCACGGGATGTACGCGCGCACGCGTGCGTGTCCACGCACAGGCGGGACGGTGCGGCGCGACCTTCGTGCATCGTAAAGGCACCTCCGAATCCTCACCGGACGTTTTCCCCGTGCCGTGGGGGCGGAGGAGACGCGGAGGGTCAGCCGCTTCGGCGCTGCCGCGAGAATCGCCGTCGGGGATCCCGCGGTTCCATGTGCGATCGAACGCCAAGTGTGACTCCCGTGATACCCGGGATACCTTCGGGTGCCTCGCGGACCGATCGACGTTGTCGCGCGAGCCCGCGGTGCGCCCGAAATTTTCAGACGCAATAAACCCGTTCGATACGTTCGCGAGTGCACGGATAGACCTTGTCCGTTTGTGCTTGTATTTGGTGTTCGGGATATTCGACGGGGGTGAATTGTTGTACGCGACGAGTTGCCGCGCTCGCGGCTCACATTGTCGACACATACGTCCTGTGCGGGGACATCGTCCCGACACTGCGGAATTTCGGATGGCGACGTGACGCGAAAGCGCGAAGGGCTGTTTCAACGAAAGTACGTGGTAATATGGCACTTGAAGCGATATATTAGCCACTTTACAGTGTACTAATTGCTGAAACCTCGAGTCCGTATACCTACATCATAACAACACTGCCGCGTACACGGAGAGGATTTTCTCTTCAAATTTATCGTCACAGTCGTGTAATCGACTGTGGGACAGCGTGGCGTTTCGAAGAATTTCGTGAGAGTTTCTGGAAATTTTACCGCACATTTTACTAGTAAAATTTCAAAAACTTTCATTTTTTTTCTCTTCAAATTTATCCTGAAAATCATGTAATTGTGGGACATGACATTTTGGAGACCTTCATGAGAGTTTCTGGAAATTTTACCATACATTTTAGTAAAATTTCAAACTTTCATTTCTTCCTCTTAAAATTTATCCTGAAAATCATATAATTGCGGAACAAGGCATTTTGGAGACCCTTATGAGATATGTGTTGAAATTTTACTATACATTTTACTAAAATTAAAAAAAACTTTTATTTCTTCCTCTTAAAATTTATCCTGAATATCATGTAATTGTGGGACAATATGGCGTTTTGGAGACCTTTATAAGAGCTTTTTGAAATTTTACCATACATTTTAGTGAAATTTCAAACTTTTGTTTCTTTCTCTTAAAATTTATCCTGAAGATCATATAATTGTGGAACAACAAGGCATTTTGGAGACCCTTATGAGATATGCTTTGAATTTTTAACATACATTTTAGTGAAATTTTTTAAAACTTATTTCTTTCTCTTCAAATTTATCCTGAAAGGTATACAACTGTGGGATAACATGGCATTTATGAGTTTTTTGAAATTTTACCATACATTTCACTAGTAAAATGTGTACTAAATATAATTATTAGTAAAATGTATGGTAAAATAGCAACAAACCTTTATTACTTTCTCTTACCATTTATCCTGAAAATCGTGTAATTATGGAACAACATTTCGAAGAATTTTATGAGAAATTTTACTATACATTTTATTAGTTAAATGTATGGTAAAGTTCTTCTCATAAAGTTCTTCAAAATGCCACATTGTCCCACGATTACATAATGTTGAGGGTAAATTTTAAAAGAAGTTTCTCCGTGTAGGATAAATCGTTTAATTTCGTAAAATCGAGAATAAAATTAATCTCGCAATAAATAATCTCTATTACGGCATCGGCTAATATTTTACTGTTAATGTAGGTTTCAGTGTGCAATCGTGTTTTTAACAAATGGAGGAATGTAAAATCCACGCGTAGAATTTAGCCGTTATTCATGCGTGACTTCATATTGTTAAATAAATAATATTAATTGATATTACCGTTGTTAGAAATGCTTTGTGCGACGTCGCGTACTATAAAAATAAAATAAACAATTGTATGTCGAGAGAGGAAAATTGAAATTCGATCTTTTATCTTCAGCAATGGCCTCATATCTATCGGTCTAAATATTTTCACAAGCAGCAAAGGCAATTTATACGTATTTCATGACTTAGCCGATCTATGTAACAAAATAAAATAAAAATACATATGTATTTAATTTCTTACGTATCTAATTATATACGCAAGTAAACTGTGAGTGTTAACATATTAAATATGGACGCTTGAAAAAAGGCACATCTTAAAAAGTTTCTTTAACGTCGTTTTAATATTAAAAATTTACACTTTTAATACACGTAAAATAAAAGAGTGCATATCTGACAGCATTACGACGATTGTCGCGCTTAATGTTACAAAAAGAATCTCTATCAATCGCTCATATTAATTTCGATATTAATCGTTTAATCACCCGATCACGGCGGAACTTATATCCAATTGTTGTTGGAGTTCTTCGTTTATCTTTTACCTTGAACTGGCGTAAAAGGGGAACAGTGGGGTGCACGTGTCACGTGTACGGTCACAAGCGCGGCACGTGCGAGAAATCATCAGGCTCGAGAGCACGACGTATAAAACTACGTAGCGATATCGACGTAACTTGTCTTAATTACGTTACGACATTGTCCGCTCTGACAACCTTTGTTACCTCAAGTGCCGTTCAAAGGGCTGTCGCCTCGCGTGACAGCACGTGACAGGCGTCATACGCCGTGAATCGAGGAATGTTAAAACATTTAGCGCCGTTACGTACGCGCGAACTCGGCCAATATTGATGAAAAGGTCGGTCTCCGCGGCTCTTGAAGGGTCAAATGACCGTCGACACTCGGAGGCACGGGCTGTGTTATTATTGAAACGAGGGCGACATAATCGCGGAAATAATCATAAGCCAAGCGATCGCTCGAATCCTCCGGAAGAGAGGGCGAGAGAGAGAAAGGGAGATTGTGTCTGAGGGAAAGACGGAGAGCAAAACGCTTTCCTCGATTGCTGTCAACGAGATACGCGTTCGGACATATCTCGTCGTTGCCACATCCTGCGCGCAGTACGTTTTAGATCGTGTTGCATCTTGGTACGCTTTCGCGTTCAGACAGACCGTGCTGAAAGTTGGATGAACCGCGAGCGAGAGACGGACAATCCCGAATTAGTAAGATGTGAATAAATCGTCGACGTATCGATCCATCGGCACGATTTTTCTCCACCAGCAGGTAAATAGTCTCTTTCGAAGCAGATAAAAAGATATAGCGATAAAGACGAGACTGGTCCAACTGAATATGTTCTCGCGTTGCCATCCTCCGTTTACAAATCGTGCATATATCTTTGACTCGAGTGTAATAAGAACCCATACAGCACGCATGTCTAAAAGACATTTTAAGACATCTTTAAGTCGCCTTTTAGACATACTTATCTAAAGGACAACTTAACCCTTTGCACTCCGAATTATATTTCATCTATTTCCATCTATTGGTTGGGACTTGAAAAAATGTCGAGTGAGACTCGACAAAGGAGCTCCTGAGATAAAAACTGATGTCGAGTCACACTCGATCGACTTAAAGACGTCTAATGATGCCTTTTAGACATGCGTGCTGTATGGGAAGAATAGGGTGACCAAATTCGGATCAGCTACCAAATGCGAATCAAATATTTTATGAGTCGCTGCTAAGCGACATTTTAAAGTAAAGCCAACGGCACACAATACTAGTTTCCCTACTGGATTGCTTGCGAGAACCAACGAGGGTGCAGAGTTTTAGGTCAGGTAACTCTTGAGGCTAAATCCTGATTGGCTCTCGTGAGCGATCCAGTAGGAAAAATAGTGTCGTGTGCGGTTGGTTAAAGTTTGCTCTATTATATATTTACAACATATATCATAAAAGGCATCGACGCGTTTCTAAGTCGCTTATTAGCGACCCATCGAGCTGTTGATCCGCATTTGGTATCTGATCGAAATTTGGTCACCTTACTCCAATTCTTCCGGATGTATTCTCGCGAACGTCGTTTTCGCGAATCCTCACTTTTGCAACTGCGAACGCACGCGGCGTCCCTCTTTTGCACATTGAAATCGGATTTTTCTCCTCGAGCGGCTTGATGAATCGCGACGTCGAGTGTTTCGGCCGCGGGGCTCTTTAGGATTAATGGTGGCATTCGAATGATCACCGCGTCGCGGGAGTGCCACGATTGGCCGGCAAGCGCGGGTACTTGGCATACGATTCGATCGATATCCCAAGCTGACAATAGCTGGCCGTTGTCAGGCCCGCTAATCGCCTTCGAAAAGGGAATAAAAATTGGGCTAAATCGCGCCGTTGCGGCTTTCGTCCCGTTCCGAGCGACTCGTGACACAGGGGCGAGGCGTTTTATCACCGCGCATTCTACGACAATACTGCGCTCTGACGACAGTAATTGCGCTCGCTAAAGGAACGAAGAGAGAGAGAGAGAGAGAATTCGTGTAGGCGAAATTGATTTAACAGGTTCAATTGTTAGACCTTGCATGATTTTTGCAGCGTAGTTCGCGCGTCGGGCTTACGTATTGACAAATTTTCATCGTGCATTATAATACGCAAAAGTAACTTTACAAATAATGAAAGATTAAGCTCGGAACCGAGGCTCGATCTAAAACAAGCTGAAACAAAGGCAGAGGCTAAAGCCGTAATTGAAGTGGAAGCTGAAGCTAAATATAAACTTGTGTAGCTCTTTTCTTTGATTCTCATTTTCCTAGAAAATTCGCAAAACAGACGTTGAAAATATAACAATCCCTGATATAAAATGTACACATTTGTATGTTATCAATTTTTCTGTCTCCCCCCTCTCTCTCTCTCTTTTTCTCCCATCTCTGCTTTGTAATTTCACATCTTTTTATAGGTGACGTATATTTTTCTCCGTCAATAATATTTCTCATTTTTGAGGAACTTTCTCTACATCTGGGAAAGCGAAAAGATACTGTCAATCAAAGCAGGGCCAAATAAATGGAAATGTATCTTGGTCGTTTTTAATAAACGTTACGGCATCAGTCGCCTCTGAAATATCGTGCCGATGATGGCAGCGGACAGGCATAACATCATCTCCGCGCGCAAACCGGAAATCAAGGAATATCGGGAAATGAATTATTCCATTTCCGGCGTTCACGGCTTCGTTTCATTAATTCGTTTTCTCCCGGAATTCTATCCCCGCTATATCATACGATATTTTGTTATGCGGATGATGGCATGGACATAATATTCTAGATATAAAATTTCAACGTGCAAATTTACAATATCGCTCTTGCATAATGTAGTACCATTGCGAAAAACACATTCCCGGGCGTAATCGCACAGGATGATCGCAATTAATATAAATGTCCTATTAATTATAAAATTAAAATAAGAATTATTCAGACACTAACATCCTGCCACGCCTCTTTAGTGCTTATTCCTTCGAAATTGCGTTTATCACACGAGAGCTTTATGAACTTTATTAATTAATTGAGGTTAAATTTGAAATAATAATACGAAGCGTTCGCTCTTCAATCAAAGATATAAATTTCACTAAATATATTATGTTAAAGAATTAATATTGCTAATAATTATCCAAAAATGAAAAATAAATAAACTATATTCACAAAGCTGTACATAAATGTGATGAGTTCGTCACACATTTGAAATACTGTATTGCGCATACTTGTTTTTGCGGATACGCATTGACCTCTACTTCGGTTTCTCCAAAAACGTGCAAGTCAATCTTCTGCTTTATTCTATTTTAAATAAAATGAGACATATAGAGGAAAGTCCTCTATTATAGAATAGGCTCCTAATATGAGGTAATAGGGTTTTTGCTAAATTAGTAGGCATCATCTATTGGTTTCATCGTTAATTTATTGCCCTTGGAGCGAAATCTGTCCAGTGGAAAATTTATTGTGAGATCGTGTAATCGTTGCGAATAAAGATTTGTGATTAATGATATAGTTTTTCGAAACGATCTACACTGGCCAATGTTTTTATTTAAAAAACCAACAGCGTTTTGGTCCCGGATTTGGACCCTTTTCAAGTAATCTGCAAACGAATATAACTTAACACTAGATTTTTTTAAATATAGCGCAAATAATTATAGCGAAAGTAAATTACAAATCTATACCTTTTCACACAATTGCCGTTGATCTCATATCGCTCGTTTGGCCAATATCGTTATGTTAATAAACTGTGTACAGGCTAGAGTGAAGAGTGAAATATCTTCTTGAAATTCACTCTTGACATTTTAATTCGTAACAACATAAAATGTAATGACTCTCTTGCCTGTACACAGCTTATTAACATAACGATATTGGCCAAACGAGCGATATGAGATCAACGGCAATTGTGTGAAAAGGTATAGATTTGCAATTTACTTTCGCTATAATTACTTGCGCTATATTAAACAAAAATCTACTGTTAATCCAAATCCGGGACCAAAACGTTGGTTTTTTAAATAAAAACATTGGCCATTGTACGTCGTTTCGAAAAACTATATCATTGGTTTTATATTACTGGCGATAATGAATCTATTTGTGATTTGTGATTAAATTTGGATGTTGAAAACCTGCAATCTCGTATTAGAAGCCTATCTCCGAGGGGAAAACCGCTGAGGGCATTCTGGTGTACAGATTTGCGGCATTACTGGGCATTACTAGGCAGTACTAGGCATTTTTTGGGCATTAGTTTGGGCATTAGGCCTTGCTGGGGCACTATAAAGATAAAATAAGATAAAACAAGATTTATGAGATATTAAATAAGACAATAAGATAAAGTAATGCCCATTGGGCATTAGTGGGCATTGGTGTACAAGATTTTTGTCAGCGGTTTCCCCCTCGCCTATCTCATAATAAAGGACACTCCTCTATGTACAAAACACATAGCGATTTTATCATAATTAAATTGAATTAAATGGAATGATGTGTGCACTTGATTGTATGTGTATCTCATATTTATTGTATATATACACTGAGGTACAAAATACCCTTATGATTTCAGAGTCTTGAAAATAAATGGAAGACGACCGTAATCGAGGAGGTCCGTAATAAAGCTCATTGCTGTGCCCATCGCACCGTAAACTTCTCGCAGTTGTTAGCTCTTTTGAAACGTGCGTTCTCTCGGAACTCTCTCTCCAAATTGTAATTCTCGTCGAAGACCAGCCAGCGCTTGCAGAATCATGTCTGCCATCTCGGGAAAGCAGAACGCGCGATGCTACGCGTGACCCTGTCGGGAATTATTGAACACGGCCACTGGACGAAATCGAGGAGTAATGATCAACGACACGCGGCCGAGGCTGGCGACCACCATCGCGGGTTACAGCCAGACGAGTCGCGCGTGCGATCGTCGACACGTGTCCAGGCACGGAGGCGGCAACGGCGGATTGTTGCTCCGGACCATCCTAATTTGTTGCTGCATCACAGTGATTTATGGCCTCAAGCTCGACATCGGGAAGAGCTTCAAGGACCTTCGGGCACTTCGACAGAAGACCTTTCCGCAAAGGGGCTATTGCGACCTGGACATGGAATGCGACTGGGAGTGGACCCAGTCTCAGGGTTTCAAGAAAGTCCAGGCGACTGCCCTACCATCCTTTCCTCACACGGACGCCGACAACTCTTTAATCGGTACGGAAACTTTAGGCCGTTCGTATTGTATATTATTCTTTTTTACAGAAGAAATTCGTATAAAGCGAAAGATTTAAGTAAAAGAATGCGTTGTTTTAGTCAAAGATCGTTGCAGAGTTTGAGTATAAAATTAAAATAAAATGTTAAAAGGTCCAATTTGTGATCGATTAAAAATTAAAATTTGATTACCATGTCGCGTATATAATATGTATTTTAGGAGAGTTAATTAGCGTTTTGTTCTCTCTCTCTTTCTCTCTCTCTCTCTTAAGGCCACTTCCTGTGGTTCACCGGGAAAGGGGACCCCCAGATATGGTCCAAAACGATTCAACACACGGGTCCGCGTTGTCGTATTGAATTCTGGCTTTTCATGGTGGAAATGGAACACGGATTTATAAATCTCGTCATACAAATGAACAGTAACAACGTGAGTTCCATCGCGGTGACGAAAAGCGGAAATAACACCGCCAAGTATGTGCACATTTGTTTGCTATAATAATGTAGATTTAAAAAAAAAACGACAAAGTAGATTCTCTAAGAAATACGCTGCTTAAACGTTATTTCAGATGGAATAAACTAGGCTTCCAATTACGCCCAATCGATCAACCCTATAAATTATTCTTAGAGGTCTATTTGCCCTATGCTAACTCGAGCATCGGTGTCGACAACATTCGCCTAGTTAATTGCTTTTCAGGTAATTAATAAAAATATTTTCAAATAATTAAGTTAATGGAACAGTTTCATTGTCGAGTGTATCAATGGCGCCTATACCTTTATAGTAATTGCGGCGTTTGTATACTTTGTTTCTCTGCTTCATACACGTATATTTGTACCTGAGAGATCCGATATCACAATTGACATTTAGCAAATTTATACAGAAGAGCCGAGATCGACTTGCATTCCTATAAGTTGCTTCTTATATTATCTTTCGAAAGTTCGTTTGAAAATACTTTTTCAAACTTCCGTTCGTCCCGCATTATTTACTACTGTAAAATAAATAATTAGAGCAGTTGAATAAAAAATCGATAATTTTGCAGTTACAGCAGTTTACTTCTCACGTACAGATGTATATATTCTTTCGTGTACATAAAAAAGTATTACGTTACTTAAATTAATTAAGTTAATTAAATGAACAATAATACGCTTGCCTATATCGCACGGGTTTTCAAGCAATAATAATTGACAGTCATGGTTTTGAAGTAGATTTGTATACAATTGCCAGGGTAGTCATAATATTAGAGGAAATCAATGTACACAAGAAATTTAATTCTATAACTGAAGCGGTAACTCTCTCTCGCGCACGTCCACCTTAGCATCCATCGACCATTGTACCAAGGATATGTTTCGGTGTCACAACGGCTCCTGCTTGAACATGACCCGCGTCTGCGACTTCACGAAGGATTGCGCCGACGGCGAAGACGAGTTTGCGAATTGCGGTGCGTACGCCTCGTTATCTTATTAATATTGCATCTCGCGTGACGTAAAAATTGTTTATGCTTTTAAGCCGTACAATTGAACATTTAAAAATATATTCGCAGACAAGATACCGGAGAACGCGAGGTGCAACTTTGAGAACGGTTGGTGTGGGTGGACAAACGAACCTGGGAGGCCCCTAAATTGGACCCTTCACAGTGGTCCTACGCCAACCGAGAGGACCGGGCCTCGTTACGATCATACTTACCGCAACGAAACTGGTATGCGCTTGAAACTAGACGAGGCGCGACACATTCACAGAATAATAAATTGTCACCTATTTGGCAGGAATGTACGCGTTCGTGAATATGGCTTCTAAACACGCGGCTGTCGCATACGGCAGTCGAGCCACCATGACAAGTCCTGTGTATAATCCGACACCACCTTACAGCAACGACCCTAAAAACCCTTATTATCGGTCGTGTCAAGTACGTTTATATTTTTATTCGATTGTTATAATATCTCCAATATCTTAAATTATCTATATTATATTATTAGGTATATTACTATATATTAAATCGTATTAAATCTAAAAACTAATGATATTTGAGTCTTATGTCTCCGGTATTATGCTACAAAATTTAACAATAAATCGCGGCAGTTGGGATCGATAAAATGGAAAAAGTATATTGAATTATTTGAGTGTAGACTTAATTCGAAAGATAAAATCAAAATGATCTTTTCGTTAGTAGATCTAAAAGAATGTTCATCGTAATTATTTAATCTTATATCTGAAGTGTTGGCTATTTTCGAACAAATGGCTATAAATCTAATGCATTTTCTTCTTGAAGATATATCTGAAAAGTGATAAATATTTGACATTATTTGTAGAAGGCGTTTAAATAGAAATCTTATTCTATCGTTTTCGGTAAAAGAGTTTAATCAATTATTTTGACAAATATCTTATTAACAGAAAATAAATGTTTTCAGGTACGCTTTTTCTACCATAAACACGGTGCGCATAGCGGATCCCTTGGGCTCTTTTTGATCCAAGTAAAACCATATGGAAATCATAGCCAAGACTTGTGGTGGTCCTACGGATCCAACAGCGACACTTGGTATAACGAGGCGATTGTTCTGGATAACATAAGATACAGGTAAGAAAATTACATAGCGATAAACGCACTTAATGCAAAGTTACTCTTACTCGAGCAATGAGGAACTAAATATCATTGACACGTATCTGTAGGTACCATTTGCAATTCGAAGCGTCCAGAGGGTATTCCTCGAAAGGTGATATAGCGGTTGACGATATTTCCCTGAGTCCAGAATGTTTCGGCATTGGTAATTGTAACATAATATTAACCGTCTCTTTATTATGTAGCTAACTACTTTCGGTTATCTGCCATTCGCACATGAATGTTCGTTGCAGGGGTTCCATCAAATATTGTAGGCGATTTTGATTATTACAAACCCGTTATTGACAAAGTGCCACCGCAGCATCCGGATTTTGTAAACGAGACAGGTACACGAAATTGTAATACATTTAATAAATTCAATTGTACTTTTTCAATATTATTTATATATGTATGCACATTGTGTAACATTTCATTTCATATTTTTGTAGACATAAAATCTTTTTTGAAAATCGTTTTTATGAATCTTGTGTTGTTTGTCTTTGATATAGAAATATACAAAGCTTTCTGTATAACAGATTAAAAATTAAAAAGATAAAAAATATCCGAGAACAACGAATTCGTTTCGGTGAAACGCATACTCTCTCTGTAGTGCCAACCTTCGGTTAGCAGCAGTCGAGAGTAAAAAGTAAATAGGGTTTTGCAATAATTATGTATCTTTGTTTCTCAGTCATCCGAATTACCAATTGCGGGAACACTGGCAGAAATGGCCCTACCATCGAGAAATGTGCTGAACAATATAATAACACGGATGTAGAGCTCGTGCCACCGCCGACACGAGATCAGGATGAAAAATCGGCCTTCGCCTTAGAGGGAGTCCAACGGTGGACCGCGCCACGCGGTGAATACTACACGTTAGTAGACCAGTCAAAAATATGAATTAACAATAGGAGAGACTTTTAAGACATCTCATAGGCCTGTTATACTATACGTTGTCATGAGTGCGATGCACCGCACGTCAGACGACGACCTCGCACGCGGCAAGGTGTCAGATAACCCCTGCCGCATGCGACGAAAACGAATACCCGGAACAAAGTACGAAACCATCGAAGCCGCGCATACAGTTGCTAAAGGAAAAACCGCTTACTAACCAATAAACGGCCTAACAACAGGGCCAAGCGCGGTTGATATAAAATGGAATGGAAAGGAAGGAAGGCGAGCCAATCTAAAATGAACTGTACGAGTGTACGTGTCGATATTGGCTTATGGCCTTTCGGTTGTGAGTGTAACTCCGGCAACGATCCCCGATTACCGTGCTCCGACCCAGCCGGCAGCACAACAACGTCGTTTGTCGCTGTCGAATGTCGGGACGTAGCCGATGGTTCAATGAAAATAATTTCTTTTTAAAAAATAAATTTTCTCATTGGACCATCGGCTACGTCCCGACGTACGACGTATTGTATAGCAGGCCATAGTGATTATTAATAACAATTTAATCATGCAAAGCGACAATTCAATCATCAAAAGATTAAGTCGCTAATTAATATCAAACTTACGATTTGCCGAATAAATTCGTTGTTTTAATCTGTTAAATTATAAATTGTCTTCGAAAACAGTTTCATCGCCGTTGGAGCACGAGGAGGGAAGGGCTCGAGTAATTCCGGCAGCAGCCTGGGTGCATTTGTTCGCGGTGTCATAGAACTCCAAAAGGGCGACCAGCTATATTTCATGATGGGTCAAGAGGGAACGAACGCCTGTACCAAAGTGAGTATTGCTGACATAACTGAAATAAGAGATCTACATATAAAAGAATATAATACACATATAGAATAAACATTTATTCCACGCAAAACTTTATTTTCAAGAAAATAAAATTGAGAACTGGAATAATAATGTGCTTATTGTTTTATTCTTAAGCTTCTCTACTTTATGACTCTCATCGATACTTTTCTACAAATCCCACTAACAATAAATTTTTTGCTTTAATTGACTTTTCCTCCCTCCTTCGGAATATTGTCAAATTGATTTTTTTTTTTCGAAAGCTACACAAAAATATTAAGTTTGGTTAATTTTTGCGGAAGAATGTTTTTCTCCGAGTTGTATTATAAATTACTCAGATTCTCTCTATTTGTTTAGTTTACATTATTGTTTGCAACAAACTATTAATATTATTGATTTTGTCAATCAGAATCTAGGCTTAAAGACAACCACCTGTTACTCGTCGGATCAATCGGTCGATTTAACGCCGCAGCAGACATCATCGAAAGTGCGAGAAGTGAAGAAGATCGAGTTTAAGAACCCTGGTGGCGGTGGAGGTGGTGCTACCGCCATCTTCATGGTAAATATTATGTCTTTAGTAAAAAAATAATGACTATGGCAATTTACTAAAATAACAAAGAATAAAAGACGCTTCTTATTATATTCATGTAGATATTTCATTAGATTCGCAACAGTATTTGCACAAAGAAAATCTCGCTTCAATTTTTCACTAGTTCCCTTCTTACTATTATACAAGTTCGACGTATGCCTGTAATCGATTGTAGATGAAAGCGAACGGCGAACCGGAGCCTATCTTAATCGCGGGTGGTGGCGGTGGTTTGGGATTAAAACCCTCTAATGACGACGGAGTACAGCATGGACGCGGTTCCTTTTCCGCAAGTAGACTTTCGCCGTCTCCATCCAATGTTTCAGAACGCATGGGTAATTGGTTCTTTTCTCTAAAATGCACAATAAAAATTTCTGAGTTGAATTAACAATGCAATCTGAAGTAGAAAGAATGTAAATTCGAATGAAACTTCGGTTCCTAGGTGGGCCCGGTGGCAATTGGAATGGAACGTGGCCTAATTTTCAACGAAAGTCCTGGGGAATGCCAATAATATTTGGAGGTATAGGAGGACTCGGTTGCGAGTCCGGAAGTGAAGGCCACGGTAACGGTGGCTTCGGTGGAGGCGGAGGCGGTTGCCAATCGGGTGGTGGTGGCGGTGGTTACGTTGGTAAAGAGAAATATGAAATATTTAAATCTATAATATTTGTGTACTGCTGTAATTTTTTAAAATATATTTTTAAATTGTAAGTGCGAGGTATCGATATTAAGATTGAAGAAATACTGAAATCTTGCTAATTTAGATGTGTCGTAAGCAATAATCCTCAATTGATGAGCTTAGAAAAGTGACTTTGTGTTCTTCAGGCGGTAACGCAGGGTATAATAATGGAAACGGCGAAGGCGGTTACTCATACGCCAGTCAAAAGCTCACCAACGTTTACTACAAATCTGCAGTTCATTTTGGCGCAGGTGAGGTCTTTATCATACCTGCAATCAGCGGTTGCGGTTGCGATTACCGCTGCGTCGCGTTGGATCAGTACTTGAGCGAGACCAAGTGTCTCTGTCCTCAGGGTTGGTTGCTCAGCAACGACTCGAAATCCTGCATAAGTAAGTACAACTGTCATGACGTGTCACTATCCTCATTATTGCATGCAAATGCAAACGAAATAAAATCATGGTGAATTTCAGTGACCGACGATTCCAAGAGTGGACATCAAACGTACATAATCCAGCTTCTAGGTATCGTCATTGGTCTGTTCACTTTAATTGGAATTTGCCTAATATCTTGTAAGTAAAGACTTTTTTATTAAAAATATTCCTCTAGATATAATTTACGAACAAGATGATTTCTAGAGCTCTTGTTTTAGCTTTTATTATGAGTATCTTAATTTTTACATGACACCCCTCTCTCTCTCTCTCTCTCTCTCTCTCTCTCTCTCTCTCTCTCTCTCTCTCTCTCT